CGATGTTTTTAAGAGTCAGGACTCTAGATCCAACGTGTTTTTCTTCCAGTGAATGTAATAAAATGCAATTAAGCCGAATTTTTGAAATCTGGTGCAGCTCACAGGCTCACACCCGCTTAAGTAGTAGAAAAATGTTCGGATATTAATTTGAAAAGTCCACAAATATGAGGAATTTAGTGCATATGTGTACTATTGTCCAAGTTTGCATATTTCCTTATTTGGAGCTAGGGCAAAGAATCGATTATTAAGGCGTTCGTTGCGAACACCTTGTCTATCAATCCTTTTCCATGGGCTTGGATGGCAGATCAATCGATACATCGCTTAGCACGGCACGCCACTGCTGCGAGGCAACTCATTAACAAGTCTGTGAGGCACATCGAAACCACGGCAATGAGGCAAAAACGCCGGACCTTGGCAAAAGGTTGAATTTTTATAAAAAAGCTCTCTTTTTGCACCCTTCGTGACGTCATCCTAGCCTTTTCACGCTTGGCAACCTGCGCGCGAAAACCGGGAGATGCACTGCCGAGTGCCGCTCATGAGATGTGACGAGCTGTCGCGACGCATGTTCTCGGGCGCGGATCTGCCACTCGCGTCGTCGGAACTTCATGCGCAGTTTTAAGTCGTCCCTTCGAGACCCGAGGGCGTTTGTTAAAATTTGACGAGCCGACGTTCCTTCCATCCCTTCCCGGGTTGGCGTGTCGTGTGCTTTCGACAACGGAAGCTCCCGCAGTTGGAACAGTGCATCAACGTGTCGGTGTCAAAAGCTCAAAACTCGTGCATGTTGCGAGGATGGGCTTCTCGGGAGGATGAGGCTTGCAGGAGTGCAGGTCTCTGCAGATATGCAGCGAGCTGATTATTGACATTGATGATGATAGACAAAGCTCCAGAACGGAAACTTTGGAACGGGTGGTTGTTGTAGACTAAGGCTAGAATTGGACCCCGTTTAACAGAAAGAAACCAAGCCACATCAGCTATTGCCAAATTGAACTCTGCATTTTAATTTTTTACAATAGAATATTTACGCGAATTTTTTTGAAAATTTCAAGGATTTTGCTTCGAATTTTGCAGAAAATTCACTGGAATTTGAAAAAACGAAAGTCCTCAGTTTAAGTTCGCAAGAGCTGATGTGGCGTGGCTCCTTGCTGCTTAACGCGGTTCAATTCATGTTCGTTGCTTAATCAGTTACTTTCCTTAGGAGACCGTATACAGGGTGATCGAAAATTCCCGCACTATCTGCATTTGTAAGCAAATTGAGATAGATTCGACTCACTCTAGTCTCTGAGCAAGAAGAACATCAGCATTCCAGTCAAACCAATCCGATGCCTCGATCTTTGATCACAATGGTCATAAATCAGCCTCAAAACGCTGCCGAACTAAGGAAAAACGCCTTAGGAGCCGTTATCAGTTGCCAAATTGCCTTCAATTGAACACAAATTTTCTGGAATACTCAAGAATATTTTCCGTTCAATTTTCCAGAGCGTTTTCTTCGTAATTAGATCTAGATTATCATAAAATTTCGCGAGGCTTATTCATAACTCTCTTCAAAAATAAACATTTCATGGGACGAAATTTGGCAACTCTTGAATGTTCATACGGCGTTTTTCCTCAGTATGGCTCTCTCTCCCCACTCAGAATTACGACAGGCCCCACGAGCCAGGTCAGAGACTTAAAGCGATTCCGTGGGGCGGTCACGCGTGATCATACGTGGAAACATCGATTCGACTCGCCTCTCGAGTGACGTCACTCAGGCTCCAGATGCTCCAATTCGCCAAGAGTTCACGTGAGCTCGTTGTCGTTGGCAAGAACACTTGGGAAGTGCGCAGCGAGCTGAAACCCCCCGGGTCGCAGACTCGCAGAACGCGATGTTTTCACGCAGAACTGGAAAGAACTGTCGTTTATCCTTCGGCGGATTTCGATCCGGCGGCGGAACTTCCTGCACCTTTCCCACTTGCACTTCCTCGGCACGTTTTACAAAGTTACGACTTCGTTAATGGCCTGTTAGCGATATTTTCGGGTCAAGGAACTTGTAAGTTAACTGACCTGATAGAAATGCTGGGAATGTACGCGGAATTGAACACTCCCAATCAGTAGTTCACAAGTACGATGAATATTTAGGGAGGGTTTGCACCTACCTTCTGTCTTAATCACAGAAGTTTTTCTTTTGTATATTGTACTTTCTGCAGTGGCAAATCATTTTAATCCCTTGCACGTATGTTGCTATAGAACTATTTACCTACTAAAGGGGTCACAAAATGTTGAACCCTGGAATTAATCATAATCTTGACAACGTCGCTTTATGGCGACTCATACTGCGAGTCCTATTTCAATGTTGATAAGCACCTGCGTATAGCAGCCCCTTCCCCTTGTTAGCTAGTTCGCCAACACATCTCCTCGTCGGACCACGTTCTCTGTTTTCTTTCAATAAAATATGTAATTCATATTCCAATAATGACTACTCCGAAATAAACCCAAAACACCTATCCTCATTACAAAAATGGTGTATTTTACAATGCTATGTTTAAGGCTTCCTTAATGCTCAAATATTCAATTGAGAGCACTTCATTGCTACCGCTGCTTCCCGATTGCGAGTTCAATCCGTCAAATTTTTTAGGCGCCAAGGCCCGATTTTTAGGCGCATGGTGCCCGGGGAAAGCAGAACACTGGTCTAGTAGTTGTTAGGTTGGCTACCCAAAAAAATCTAGGTGATATCAAATGCGACCCAGCCTTTGTCGAGTCGTTTTCTCCCCGAAAAACTTTTAACAACTCAAGGATTTCTCAAAAATTCAGGAGGTTGTAAAATTGAATGAAACCTCTACCCCCGTTACCGCGGAGCGCCCGTGAGGGGTTGAACCGCGCAGCGGCCAGGCCCTTGGCACTTTAGACGAACTGATGAATCTGCACCGTCATTTCCTCTAAATCCTTACGGAGGACCGGCGCGGCATCGCGGGTGGTGGCGCACCATATGGGGGTCCGCGTGGCTGTCAGGTTGGTGTGTCGCCCGAACCGGGGGCCGATGCGATGGGCGATGACTAATGCCCCCGTGAGTGGATAGAGATGTCATTTTGACGAAGGAAGATTAATACATTCACGCGCACCCCGAAATAATCCCTTTTTGTGTCGGCCGTAAAATTAGACGCCCCCTCCCGCGCGGCTTCGTGTCGTGACGAACGTGACAAATTCGAGCGACTAGCTCCAATTTGTTCGCAGCTTGTTTCCAGGAGGAGCCGAATCGGGAGTAGGTGTCGAGGTCACAGGAAGGGTGCATGTCTGTGTCCTCGGTGCATCCTAAATTGATTCTTGGGGATTTGTTTGCTGCTCGTTACTGGCTGGGAGCAGCCGGGGATGTGGATGTTCGAGGAAGATGACTAATTAAGTCTGGAGAAGTCTTTTTCTCTCTGATTTTCTAAAATGCCCTCATCATCATTACTGTAACGACGAATAAAGTGCGAAATCTCGTATCTCCACACTGCCGTACTATGGATGAACGCCGTATGAACATTCGGGAGTTGCCAAATTTCCTTCGATAAAATGCTTTTTTTCAAGGGAAAATTATTAATATTTCTCCAACCAAATTGGAGAAATTCCTTAATTTTTTTAGAAAATACGTGATCGTTAAAATATTATTACCATTTCCAACATGACTGGTCACAAAACTATGTCTATACGATGCGATACGTAAAAAAAATAGCTACTTCCATTTAAGAGTCATTACGTTCAATTACTCTGACTTTCCAGTGTTATTTCTTAAGTGCACAGCATGAAAAATCGGCTCGTTTAAAAAAACAAACAGAGATCCATTATAACCAAAAACCTATCTATTTTGCTGAGAATGTAAAAAAAAAAACAGGATTTCAATTCAGCCTTAAATCCAGGCAAGCGCAAGTTAGAAAGAAAGATAGGCAATACCCGCGCGCTTCTACGAAGACCAACATTAAAAGAGAAGGCGAATTATAAGCTCCATCGGTTACTTCAAATGAGAAGAAAGAAGATAAAACGCAGATGCAGGGTGGAAAATTGAAATTCTTGGCGAGCGCATACGTCATTAGAAATTAATGGATTTCGATTCCCTCCTTCACTCGCGGAGAAAGAAACGGAAAGAAAGCGGGGCATAGCCTCGAGAGTGTTTCTTTTGGAGGCGTCTGCAGATGCTGAAACCGAGGATACTCATTATCTGATGCACCCCGGGATACAGGCATTCTTATGGAATTCGAGGTTCATCGGGGGCGAGACCTGGTACGTTTCAACATCGAACGATCCAGTTATTATTCTCGAGCGGTGAATTTACACTCTTATTACGAAGACCACTGCGGAGAGAAGAAAGAGTGAACTTTCCGCAAATAGTGGCGGTAGAAAATATGCATTCTACACACAAAAAAATCCGAAAGGAGAGCGAAAAGGAATAAAAGCGTGATTTGGAGAGGAAAAAACCGAGGGCGAACCGACCAGGGGTGCACGACAAAAAGATTCGAATCTCTTAAAAGTCGAATTAAGATAACGCGTCAGTCAAGCAGAATACACTTCCGTTCCCGCTGAAACGACGTCGGACCGCGAGAGGGGGGCGGGGGTGGTGAGAGGGGGTTCGCTCTCTTTTCCCTTGTTTAAGGCAGAGTTCCGCGTCTGAACCACAATCAATTTCAATTTGAAATGAGGGGGAGACCGGGGATGGGAGAGCATAAAATTATCGGGCATCGGTGATAATGCGCAGGGCGCGCTCTCTGACGGCGCCCCCGCGAATTGCGCCCGTAATTGAAATTTATCTCCGGGCCCACCCGCGCGCCCCGCGAGATTTTGAGATTTTGCCGCGGTCTTGGTTTGCTGACTCTTGAAGAATTTCTTTGATGGAGGATCGAATTTTATACTGCCTTGACGCTTAAAGAAAAATAAAATAAAAAAATGAAAAAAATGATAATGATAAAAAAAATAGAGTGCGCATGTAATTTGGGACACTTTAAGATCCACCACGATGGGAGATATGATAAAGAGTAAAGACTTCAACTCACGTAAGAGCTCTGCTTGGTAGTGCAAGCGTAGATTTTGACCGCTTACTAACCTGCAACAGAAAAAGAGAGATACTTTTGAGAAAAATGTTAAGAACGCAATACGGGACAGAACTATGGAGTATTAGTAATAATAGGAGCAATAGCAATTCGAAACAGAACAATCCATTGTTTGCATGTGTCTGACCTATAAACTTCCGAGAAACGTATTCTCCGACTTAAAGGAAAAAATTGGATGATTCAGTCGATGTCTGCCCTTCTCTTCCGTGAGAAGAAAGAAAATGTGCTTTCTACTATCAACTTCAAAAGTTGACTTATATAAATTCTTAGTTCATTCTCAGGTTGGTGTTTTCAAGGCAAGAAGTTGTGGCAAAAATATTTTGTTTCATAATTTTTAGACATTAGCGCATCGGGGATGGTAAAAACTTCTAAGGTATAGGAAAATGAAGACGAAACCATATTCTTTTACATGAAATTCCATAACGTCTCCCTGCAATTTCAGATGATTTTGTCCCCCATCCTAACTTACTAATGCCTGCATTTTTTCCTACGGAAAATTTTCTGTACACTGGGCACTGGGCACTGCAGTGTGCGTTACAACCATTTCCTACATGTAAAGCAGTCTTTTAGTCAGTACCTGTCCAGGTCCCCCAATTCAGAATAGTTGCAGTCTAGTCTAAAGGCAAAATGATTCAACAGTATCGCGGAGAACATGCTTGTTTATATACACTGTAATACAAGCAAAGCAATTGGAATAAAAGTGCCCTATACGGCCACGCTTATAAAAAAAAGGGTTAACTTTTAACAGCATTACATTGATACCTTTCCACCATCCAGCGACCGAGTGGCGGCAAGCCCCCACCCGATTTAGTCGAGACGAATCCATAAAACGAAGCGAAACAATAAATTAGAGACGACAAACGAGATTAATTAAACAAATGGTAGCAAAAATCAGGTTCGGAACTACGCAGCTTTGCGCCGCGCCCGAACGGAACGGAAGTTACAACAGTTCTCTCACGCGCCATATGACGTTGTGCATCGGTGCCGCACTTCCTTTGAAAATGGTATAATTAATGATAATTAAGGAAGCACGTTTTTGATCTAATATAAGCATCGTACATAAATAGGTGTTTTTGATAAATTATCCAGAACGCAATAAATCATGATTTCGATCAGAATCGGCATTTTGACGGACTATGTAATCTTTCGAGCGAGGCATGTATTAAAATATCAGTTTTTACGACTATAAAGTTCGTATGACATCTAATATAAGCATCGTACATAAATAGGTGTTTTAATATATAAATAGGTATATCGTACATAAATAGGTGTCATAATAGGTGTTTTAATAGGTGGAACATGGAACGTACAAGGAATTTCTACGAAAATGACGGAAGTGGTATCGGAGATAGGGAGTCACGGATTTGATGTCACGGTATTAACAGAAACGAAGAAGAAAGGACAAGGCTCTGTAAGTGTAAAGGAATACGATTTGTTTTATAGTGGCGTGGAAAAAGATCAGCGAGCTCAACAGGGTGTTGCAATTCTTATTCGCAAGAGCCTACGGAAGTGCATCACTACATGGGAAGCTGTTAACCCCCGAATGATAAAGATGAATATGACAGTGTTTGGCCATAAAATCACCATTTTGGGAGTGTATGGAGTCAACGATGATTCCACTGTCGCAGTGAAGGACCAATTTTTCGAAGAATTGAACGAGGAAATTGGTAAGATTGGATCCAGGAGGGAAATCATTGTGTTGGGAGATCTCAATGGTAGAATAGGACGTCAAATTAAAAGTAAGATCGTCGGCCCTTTCGGAGAGGCGGCACTAAATGATAACGGAGCCCGTATCATTGACGTATGTGAGCAAAGGGACATGAAGGTGCTCAATGGGTTCTACCAACACAAGGATATCCATAAATTTACTTGGGTTCAGTCTACTCGCGGATTGAAATCAATCATTGATTATGTGGTTGTCAGACAAGACACGGGAATGAAGATTCAGCAAGTTAGAGTGTGGAGAGGTCTTTCCTGCGGCAGTGATCATTATTTCCTCGGGGCAAAAATAGCTTTCCCAGTGAAAGGGAGCCAGGAGACCAGGCAAGCACAGGAAGAAGTTCACCAACAAAAAGATCGTGTCAAGCTTGTAAACTATAACATTGACAGCTTGCAGCATCCAAGTGTAAGGGCTTTATATGGAAAGCGCTTGGATGAGAAGTTGGGCGAATCAAGGGACGGTGATACCGAACAGCAGTATCAGTTCCTGAAGGATTGCATTCACTCGGCAGCAATGGAAGCTCTTGGTGTCGCTGATGATAGGAAAGTTAGCGAAAAACCTTACTGGTGGGACGAAGAAATTGAGAAGGAGATTCAGGAGAAACGGAAAAAATATCATCAGTTCCTTTCCTCTAAAAAAACAGAAGACAAAGAGGCGTATAAAAAAGCTCAGACGCAGGTACGAAGGCTCATAACCAAGAAAAAGAACGAATCTTGGGAGAGGAGCTGTAACAAAATAGACACGTACATAGGAGGAAGGAAAAGCACTGAGAGCTGGAAGTTGCTGAAAGGGCTGCGAAGGGACATGAAGCGTGACTTAATATCTCCGATATCCATTGATAAACTGGAGGGGTATTTTAAAAATTTACTGACAGAAAGGCGACCTGAATTTCAAGATGGAGGCGTAAGCTTGGAGTATACTAACGATAATCATAACTTGGAGATCCATATGGAGGACGTGGTAAAGGCCGTACGAGAGCTGAAGAACGATAAAGCTCCAGGTCCGGGAAATATCCCTGCTGAGTTGATCAAGTGTGGAACCTGCAAGCTGTTTCAACGGTTGAGATACCTGATGCAAGATTGCTTGGACGGTGGAAAGGTACCGACAGAATGGAAAGAGTCTTGGGTGTCACCTATATACAAGAAGAAGGGTAGAAAAGATGAGTGTGATAACTATAGAGGACTGTCGGTTGCAGGTACCCTGAGCAAAGTGTATGGAAAAATCTTGAAAGCAAAAATTGAAGAGGAGTGGAAAGAACATGAAGCGGAAGAGCAAGCAGGTTTCAGAGCCGGTCGGTCAACGATTGATCACTTATTTACCATCATCCACGTCATAGAGAAAAAGAAGGGAGTTGGCCAGGAATTACATCTAGTGTTTGTGGATCTCCAGAAAGCTTACGATAGTGTGCCATTGATGAAACTTTGGGAAGCCTTGAACAAAAGGGGTTTTAGTGGGGGACTAATTAGTGCTATTAAGGAATTTTATGGTGGGGCTTTCTCTAGGGTTAAATCGCATGGGGAGTTATCGTTGGGGTTTTTAATTACTAAAGGACTGAAACAAGGGTGTTGTTTGTCGCCAACCTTATTTAAAGTGTACCTGGAAGAAGTTTTAAAGGAATGGAAAAGATGCTTTTCGGGAATGGGCGTCCCGCTACGTGAAGATGGCACCCTTTATACTCTGTGCTTTGCTGATGATCAGGTGGTAATAGCTCAGGACGAAGAAGATGCGAATTACATGACGCGGAAGCTAGTGGAAGTATACCGAAAGTGGGGAATGGAAGTAAATGTGGTTAAGACGGAGAAGTTGGTTATCGGTGGTGATCAGCAAAGCATTGAACTGGAGGATGGCCGGAAGATCCTGGACTGTGAAGAGTATAAATATCTCGGAGTTCGGTTAACTAAGGACGGAAATTTGGATCGGGCCATTAAAGATCGGAATGTGCAAGGCAGGAAAGCTATCGCGATGCTAAATGGGGTTCTCTGGGACCAGAGTATCTCCAAGGAGACCAAAAGGAAAATTTACAACGTCATCGTGAAGAGTATCGTAACTTACGGGAGTGAGGTCTGGCAACTTAAGAAAAGAACTGAAGACATGCTTAGGGCAACCGAGATGGACTTTTGGCGAAGGTCTGCTGGGATATCGAGAAGAGAGCGTATCCGCAATGAAAGGGTACGCGAGATAATGGGTGTGGAAAAGGACATCGTGCACGATATCAGGTCCAAGCAGTTGGTCTGGTATGGACATGTGCGAAGGATGGCAGATGATCGGTTGCCCAAGCAGGTCTTCGATTGGGTTCCTCCCGGAAGGCGACGGCGTGGACGTCCTGTGAAAGGTTGGCGACAAGGGGTGGAGGAGGAGATCAGAAGGTGCCAATTGCCTGATGATCTCTGGGAGGATAGGGGGCAATGGCGATTGGGCGTCGCAGAGCGCGAGGCGGCGCTATAATCGCGACTTTATGTATGTATGTAAGTTCGTATGAAATAAAAATGAATTCCGTCGATTAGGATCATAACTTACATGAAAATACTGCTGTCATTTAGAAAAGGCATCAATTCAAAGATCAAGTTCTTACTCATGAAACTCGTACAAAATAAAGTGCATGGAGCAGAGGTCTAGAAATAATTGATGAAAATTGAAAATGAGTTCGTTTGTAAATGTGTTTGTATAAGTGGACGAATGAATTTTGCTAGACTAATTTAATCCAACATCAAATAACAAGTCTGTGTCCAGCAGAAGTTTAATTGCCAACGTCTTGAAATATGCCTGGTTCTCAGCATGATATTTTGTTAACTTTGTCCATCTGGATAACATTTCCTTACTTTGGCTTCTTTATACGTAGCCAAAACATTAAAAGGAAAATTCAAAGAATGTATTTTTTTCGTGTCTCTAATTGTTATTGCTCAATTACCAAATTCAAAATCAACTTTGCGCAGTCCATTCACTGCCGACACTTAATCTCGCCCTCTCGCCCGAAACGGTTACAACCGATTTAAAATTTGATGAATTTCTGATCGAGTCGCGTCCCTTCGATTTTTTTGGCAGAGCCACTTTGCTATCTGACAGCGATGGGGAAAATTTGGAGTCAAGACGAAGACAGAGGCTACATAAGCCGTAATCAACGGCGAGTGAAAGAAGCTTAACTTTAATTCGCAATTAAAGGAGAGAAAAGTTACAAGTTTCCGAGGGCCCGGCGGGGACGGGATAGGAGCCTCCAGGACCTGAGTTGGTGAGAAGTGGTGGAGCGAGCGCAGCTCCGGAATTCAGATTTCAGGG